AATGAGAAACTTTTACTGTAATGGTAATAACATTGATTCGAGTTTCTCGCAGTCTGAGCTTTTTCTGTTCCTGACGTCCCTAAACTTTCGCTGCTTCTGGGCCTAATACGTAGCCTATTGGGAAGTTCCACACTGACAGAAATTCGAAAAAGGTAAAAATAGGGATCAGTGAGCAAGTAATAGACAGACAAACAGAAGAACTAATTGTTGATGTTGGTGACAGTGATAGAGATGCCCATGATGAGAGTGAATGTGAAANTTCTAATGTACCGTGCTGGAGTTAGCCAAAATCGAATCTCATACGTTTGTTTAAAATAGAAAGAAGTTTGGTCAACTTGGAATCCCCTTGAAAAACTAACCATAGAATCCAAAAACGTTTAATGAGACGAAATACTACTCGGGGATACCCGCTCTCTTCATTTCTGCAATAATCTCAGATTGATTGTTTTCCTTTCAGTAATTCTAAATGAAACTTTAGAAAATATAAAATAGATTTATTATTTGATCTGATGCTATTCTGATTCGGGTCTATAGGTTTTCTTTGATTGGGGTTGCTTCCTAACGTTTCGCTAGAACGAGGGGCGAACTTTTTCAAAGGTCCTTCCATCTCCGATGGTCCACAATTCACATCCAAAATCGAAGATGGAAGGATCTCTGAAGAAGCTTGTCACTGTGAAAAAGAAATTCGTCAGAAATATTTCAGAAATTCTACTTATTGAAAAGGAGTTTTATTTTATTTTAGGTATCTTAACTAAGCATTACTGACGTAAATGATATATTTGTTGTACTGTCTACTACATAATTTTACAGCTAAAACCATAAATCAAAAAAGCCTCAGGAGTAATTTTGAGAAACAGATTTCTGCAGATATCTTTAAAAAATTACAAGCTTTAATGGACACGTAATTACTAATTATTGGAATGTTACAAAAAAATTTGAAATTGGGTCAAACTAATTGGATAGCGAAAATTAGGAGGATCGTTAGCAGAAATTAGTTTCTAATTTGCAATAAAACTTTCAAATTTTTTACCAGTTGCTCTACCTCTACATTTTGCAATGAACATGCCTATTTAATAAAAGAAATGTTACGTTGAAGTCTTTGCAAATTTTCTTTTTAATATTTCTATTTGATATTTGTGTATCAGAGAATCATAATACGCTTACACTTCTACAACACAATTGAATTTTTAAAAAATTAGTTTAGATGTCATTTCAATATTTTTGTTTGTTAATGGTTGCGCTATTCTTTAAATGCACCAGGTAATAGTTTACCCGGATACTAAGTTAGTGGGTAACTAGGTACCTACTAGCTATTATCGTTGCCGAACTCTTAATAGGTAATTGTTATTATTCCTGCTGTTTTTTTCGTTTTGGTTGAACTAGTACCCGACACCATTATCCGGTATTCGGCCGGATCCGAAACACATGCCGGTTACCGGATCCAAATGGGATACCTGTCCCATCTCTATTTTGTTACATTTACGTTTAGTATCATATTTGCTGAAAAAGTACAATTGAAAATATGTATATGCGACTAGGTACGTCACGTACGATTATCAATGTTTGGATTATACAGATTTAGATATCTGTTGGTTACGATGTCTTAAGTATTTCAAAAAGAAGGAATTAAAATTACAAACGAAGTATAATACTTACAAATTTTTCACGTTTCTGATTTTGTTGCCCAAATTTTTAAAGACCAGGTTATTTAGGAAAATAGTTTTATTTAATTAGCAAAAGTAGGGAGTACTTCGGAAATTTCCCAACTCTAGATATCCTTCGTAAGTACCAGACCGTTATTAGTCTGATAATAGGCAGAAATCAACAGAGAAGAAACATTAATTTGCAGGGACTTGTAGGTAAAGTTTACCATCACTTTACCCAAGATAATCTTATTCGAAGAACAAAAATAATTTTAAATTAGAGTTCATTTTGTCGGTAGCTCATAAGTAAATCGGATATAATTCACATTATAAAATTAATAATATAATTTATAATTCCAAATATTCAGAGATTTATTTGAAAGGGATGACTATTTTTTTTTTTGTTTCTGCTGTGTACAGGTATAATAAGAGACACATTTTTCACGTGAGGACCGAGCAGGATGGCCTAGAGCCTGGAGGGTTAGACCGTTGTTTAGCTTTCTAGAGGACACCGGTAGGATTCCAGGTCCGTTTCACCTGGTCCAACTTTTTCTGTAGTTTCCTTTGAACACTTAGGCAAATTTTCCACAGATAAAGTTTGACTCTCTCTGTCCGTTTCATATTTTGGTCGGCATAATCCTAAAAGGGACTGCTCACCCATCACCATTAGTAGCTAGTGGTGATAAACCACCCGAAAGTTCTTTTTTTTCTTTTCACTTGAGATAGTCAGCGAGTCCTTTTTCACACTTCTTCCTAGTATTACTTAATAAAGTGAAGTGAAAAGTCTTCTGTCGCTCTAAATTTAAATTTCTATTACACGTTATCTAACTGTTATATCTAAATTGCCAGCCGCAAACTAACTACTTGTATTATATAGTACCACGTCAAGTTCAGAAGTTAGCGTCTAAAAATAAGTGTAATCTTCATCTAACACGCAAACCGCAACCAGAACATTTCTATGAAACAAACGCAGCTAGTAGAGCTAGATGCATGCAAACATTCCATGTTAACGTTGATGTTGGTAGTTACACAAACACGCACGCATGCACGTACGTACGCACGCATACACGCATTTCATGATGATATTGTGTGTGGATGTTTATTATATGGCTAACACGCTTAAATTGGATTAATATTGGTTATTGGGATATTCGTAAACTTTCATTATTCAAATAAATACGCGAACTTTTTATACACAATAAATTCGCGTAGAATTAATACTAATATATGAAATACTTTAAATTTTGATGACTGAGAAGTCGATTCCTATATAAACTCTAACATTTGACAAAACTTTCCCAATAGCAGCTGAATTAAAAAAAATCTAAAAGTGAGTAGTATTGAAATTAGGTATGTATGTATATCAAAATGAAAGTGAAATTCTAATGTACCGTGCTGGAGTTAGCCAAAATCGAATCTCATACGTTTGTTTAAAATAGAAAGAAGTTTGGTCAACTTGGAATCCCCTTGAAAAACTAACCATAGAATCCAAAAACGTTTAATGAGACGAAATACTACTCGGGGATACCCGCTCTCTTCATTTCTGCAATAATCTCAGATTGATTGTTTTCCTTTCAGTAATTCTAAATGAAACTTTAGAAAATATAAAATAGATTTATTATTTGATCTGATGCTATTCTGATTCGGGTCTATAGGTTTTCTTTGATTGGGGTTGCTTCCTAACGTTTCGCTAGAACGAGGGGCGAACTTTTTCAAAGGTCCTTCCATCTCCGATGGTCCACAATTCACATCCAAAATCGAAGATGGAAGGATCTCTGAAGAAGCTTGTCACTGTGAAAAAGAAATTCGTCAGAAATATTTCAGAAATTCTACTTATTGAAAAGGAGTTTTATTTTATTTTAGGTATCTTAACTAAGCATTACTGACGTAAATGATATATTTGTTGTACTGTCTACTACATNTCTAAAGGTCGTCTTCAGTTGGAGGTGCTTCCTAACGTTTCGTTAGCACGAGTGGCGGGCTTCTTCAATGGTCTTTTTAACGTCGACCACATTCAGCATCGAAGATGGAAGGATCTCTGAAGAAGCTTGTCACTGTGAAAAAGAAATTCGTCAGAAATATTTCAGAAATTCTACTTATTGAAAAGGAGTTTTATTTTATTTTAGGTATCTTAACTAAGCATTACTGACGTAAATGATATATTTGTTGTACTGTCTACTACATAATTTTACACCTAAAACCATAAATCAAAAAAGCCTCAGGAGTAATTTTGAGAAACAGATTTCTATATTGTTAGGTTGATTTGCTAACATTGTAATTAGTTTAGAAACAAAACATATTAATGAAGTACAATAAAATTATGGTAAAATTTCCTTCCTTTAATGATATTGTTTAACCAATAAACAGAACCCATGTTTTATCATAGTTTAATTTAACTTTTATGAATATTTTTCGTATGAGACTGACCGCAACAAATATGTGATAAAAATTTTATCACCTGAAATAGTGTAATAAATTACTTGCATTATATTTTCTATTATAAAGAAGCACACATGGTTTTTTATCAGCATGACCAAAACGTATTAAAATTTAATCTTCTCCAACGCCTCCCGGAATTATTCCAAAGGTGATTTATGTGTCTACAACTATTTACTGATGCTCATTACAACAGTTTATAAAAAACAATAGGTTCGCAAAGGAAAAAGCACCCTAGAAATATAAGAAAGAATATTTTTTGTAATATGGATTAAAATAAATGACAAAATTGTTTAAGACTGTCGACTCTATTATGAACTTTTATTATAATGAAATGTATTGCTATATCTGCATCAGTTTCTCCAATATGATTCCCTTTTTTAATTAAAATCTCACATTTACAAGAGAAAGTTAAAAATATGTGTATAAAGACGAGAGACAGCATGTAGTAGTAATTGTGAAATATAGCAGACTGCATTTTTTTTCCAATTAATTTAGACACATTCGTCATTCAATGCCCACATCATCTGTTTATGGCTACCTTGACTTATATTTCACACACAAATATGCTAATAATCTACCACATGGTACAACGTTGGTTATGCAACGGAATACTAGTATTTACCGATGCAAAGTTGAGTTGTCTTGTATGAGTATACGTAAGAAATAAAAAATATAAAAGCGAAACAACTCAATTAAACAACACACAAGTTGATTTACACTAAAATAATCTTAATTTTAATACTTCTTGAAATACGAAAACCANCTTTAAGGCCTTACATTTCTGATCCAGCCTAAATCAGGCCGATACAGGGAAACCCAATCCGAAGGTGGAAAATCTTTAAAAGCAAATGTTATTAATGATTAATAAAGTAATATTAGTACCGCATATGATTTAATGATTGATCTCAATTGTTTCAGACTCAAATTACCAAACCAGCAATAAGCCAAAAACCCCAGTTATCCCCAAAGCCCCGTCTTCCGGAAACGGTAGAGGTCACGTTTCCAGACAGCAATCTGCAAGCGTGGCCTCTCAAAAACAAATTCAACTCAAACGCTGCCAGCGAAAATTCCAAAAGACTATCACCATCATCACTAGACGTCAAACCGACAACGCCGACGGTTACGTTAATATCAAACACCCAGTACAACAGCCTGCCAACCAAAACGGCCATCATCTCCAACAGCATATCGCCACCAACGACAAAATCTTTGGTGGACGAAGTTGCGCTGGAAGAGAAGAAACTCATCAATGCGTTGAAGAACGGTGTTGTGATTAGTGAGATAATTATGGAATATATCGATATGCCGATTACTATCGATAGATGATAGTCAAGAAAAAGTTGCTTTCTCTGTGTGCAAAACGCAAAATGCAGAAAGATCAGATAAAAGTTGCACAAAGATTGGTTCCTCGAAGATATAGAAAGATTAGAAGATATAGAAGAGTACAGTAAAAGAATAAATAAGTCGCGAATACAGAAATCGTGGATATGAAATGATCAACACTGACAGAAATTCGAAAAAGGTAATTTTTTCGAATTAATGGAATTCGTTTGAAACAAATTATCTCTTAATATTTTACTAAGGAAGTCAGTAGTTGTTATATTATACAATATTGGTCACTAGATTCAGATCTGTGTGCCAACAATTTTCGTAATCGAATAAAAAACAATTTTATTGTTTGAATGAACGAAATCAAAAACTCGTTCTGATCGCGACCGATATTTGGCAAGTAAATGACAATCGAAAACAGTAAATCTTGCAAAACTCTTCTTGGTAGCAATTATTGCGACGAGGAAAATAAAGCTGTTGGGACATCAGTGTTCTCCAGTTACACAACAGAACAAAAGAAAGAACTTTGCCAACTTTTAGAATAAGTTCTTCTGAAGAATTTCAATTGAACTCGACGAGAGAGAAGCCAGCAACGGGCTTGATGTGTTTGAACTTTATCCAACACTACGTTCAACTGCTAATTTGTGCTTGCAATTTGTTTCAATGTCAACATCATCACCAATGACGTTTATTATAAAATTATTGTTAGATCCTGATGTATTTTAATTGTAAGTGAACATGTTACGGATGTATTCTATAGTAGGCGCTGATGTCGTTTTAAAATTAGCGATTTCGTAGTTTGAATAGCTTCACTAAAATCGTGGAAACAATAGCAACAATAAAGTAATTATAATACTGTATCTTCTGTATATTAAAGTATTTTTTAAATAATTGTACAAAAAAGTAAGGAGTACAATTGTTCTTTTTATTTAACTTTCACTTCTATGAAAATATTCGTTGCAATCTAAAAACTTTCTTTTCATAAATAATATGCTTGTTAACTTCCACCAAGTGTTCAATAGCAGTTGATTATTATATTATTATTCATAAGGA